TGTTCAAACTAAAATTTAAAATCAGAAGTTCAATAACAGATAACCATTTAGCTCCATAACCTACCTAAACAAAAAAAATATAGTGTTCAATGTCAACAGGATCAAGAAAGCTGACATATGAAACTAAAATCAAGACAGATCCATAACAGATAACCATTAGCTCCCATAACCTACCTAAACAAAAGTCTATAGTGTTCAATGTCAACAGGATCAAGAAAGCTGACATATAAACTAAAATCAAGACAGAGCCATAACAGATAACCATTTAGCTCCCATAACCTACCTAAACAAAAGTCTATAGTGTTCAATGTCAACAGGATCAAAAAGCTGACATATGAAACTAAAAATCAAGACAGAACCATAACAGATAAATTTTAGCTCCCATAACCTACCTAAACAAAATCTATAGTGTTCAATGTCAACAGGATCAAGAAAAGCTGACATATGAAACTAAAAATCAAGACAAAGCCATAACAGATAACCATTTAGCTCCCATAACCTACCTAAACAAAATCTATAGTGTTCAATGTCAACAGGATCAAGAAAGCTGACATATGAAACTAAAATCAAGACAGAGCCATAACAGATAACCATTTAGCTCCCATAACCTACCTAAACAAAGTCTATAGTGTTCAATGTCAACAGGATCAAGAAAGTTCAACATAGTGAAACTAAAAAAAACACAGAGCCATAACAGATAACCATTTAGCTCCCATAACCTACCTAAACAAAAGTCTATAGTGTTCAATGTCAACAGGATCAAAAAATGACATAACTAACTAAAATCAAGACAGATTTAACAGATAACCACTTAGCTCCCTACCTAAACTCTACCTAAACAAAGTCTAAGAGTGTTATGAATAAAATCAAGAGGATCAAACAATAGCCCCACTTAGCTCCATAACCTATGAAAACTAAGTCTAATCAAGACAGAGCCAAACTAAAATCAACAGAATAACAGATAACCATTTAGCTCCCATAACCTACCTAAACAAAAGTCTATAGTGTTCAACAGGATCAGTCAACAGGATCAAGAAAAGACGACATAACCATGAAACTAAAATCAAGACAGAGCCATAACAGATAACCATTTAGCCATTTACATAACCTACCTAAACAAAAGTCTATAGTGTTCAATGTCAACAGGATCAAGAAAGCTGACATATGAAACTAAAATCAAACAGAGCCATAACAGATAACCATTTAGCTCCCATAACCTACCTAAACAAAAGTCTATAGTGTTCAATGTCAACAGGATCAAATCAAAGCTGACATATGAAACTAAAATCAAGACAGAGCCATAACAGATAACCATTTAGCTCCCATAACCTACCTAAACAAAAGTCTATAGTGTTCAATGTCAACAGGATCAAGAAAGCAAACATGATGAAACTAAAATCAAGACAGAGCCATAACAGATAACCATTTAGCTCCATAACCTACCTAAACAAAAAGTCTATAGTGTTCAATGTCAAACAGGATCAAGAAAGCTGACATAACCTTTAACTAAAATCAAGACAGAGCCATAACAGATAACCATTTAGCTCCATAACCTACCTAAACAAAAGTCTATAGTGTTCAATGTCAACAGGATCAAGAAAGCTGACATATGAAACTAAAATCAAGACAAGCCATAACAGATAACCATTTAGCTCCCATAACCTACCTAAACAAAAGTCTATAGTGTTCAATGTCAACAGGATCAAGAAAGCTGACATATGAAACTAAAATCAAGACAGAGCCATAACAGATAACCACTTAGCTCCCATAACCTACCTAAACAAAAGTCTATAGTGTTCAATGTCAACAGGATCAAGAAAGCTGACATATGAAACTAAAATCAAGACAGAGCCATAACAGATAACCACTTAGCTCCCATAACCTACCTAAACAAAAAGTCTATAGTGTTCAATCAGAATCAAAAAGCAACATATGAAACTTCAAAGGGCAAGCTCCCATAACCTACCTAAACAAAAAGTCTATGTGAAAAAAAAGCTGACATATTAAAATCAAGACAGATCCATAACAGATAACCACTTAGCTCCCAAACCTACCTAAACAAAAGTCTATAGTGTTCAATGTCAACAGGATCAAGAAAGCTGACATGTGAAACTAAAATCAAGACAGAGCCATAACAGATAAATCATTTAGCTCCCATAACCTACCTAAACAAAAGTCTATAGTGTTCAATGTCAACAGGATCAAAGAAAGCTGACATATGAAACTAAAAAATCAAGAAGATACATAACAGATAAACCATTTAGCAATCCCATAACCTACCTAAACAAAAAGTCTATAGTGTGTTCAATGTCAACAGGATCAAGAAAGCTGACATGTGAAACTAAAATCAAGACAGAGCCATAACAGATAACCATTTAGCTCCCATAACCTACCTAAACAAAAGTCTATAGTGTTCAATGTCAACAGGATCAAGAAAGCTGACATGTGAAACTAAAATCAAGACAGAGCCATAACAGATAACCATTTAGCTCCCATAACCTACCTAAACAAAAGTCTATAGTGTTCAATGTCAACAGGATCAAGAAAGCTGACATGTGAAACTAAAATCAAGACAGAGCCATAACAGATAAACCATTTAGCTCCCATAACCTACCTAAACAAAAAGTCTATAGTGTTCAATGTCAACAGGATCAAGAAAGCTGACATGTGAAACTAAAATCAAGACAGAGCCATAACAGATAACCATTTAGCTCCCATAACCTACCTAAACAAAAACTCTATAGTGTTCAATGTCAACAGGATCAAGAAAGCTGACATATGAAACTAAAATCAAGACAGAGCCATAACAGATAACCATTTAGCTCCCATAACCTACCTAAACAAAAAGTCTATAGTGTTCAATGTCAAACAGGATCAAGAAAGCTGACATGTGAAACTAAAATCAAGACACAGCCATAACAGATAACCATTTAGCTCCCATAACCTACCTAAACAAAAGTCTATAGTGTTCAATGTCAAAATCAGGATCAAACAAAGCTGACATATGAAACTAAAAATCAAGACAGAGCCATAACAGATAACCATTTAGCTCCCATAACCTACCTAAACAAAAAGTCTATAGTGTTCAATGTCAACAGGATCAAGAAAGCCATAACAGACATGAAAAAAAATCAAGACAAGATCCATAACAGATAACCCACTTAGCTCCCCCCCACCTACCTAAACAAAAAAGTCTATAGTTTTCAATGTCAACAGGATCAAGAAAGCTGACATATGAAACTAAAATCAAGACAGAGCCATAACAGATAAACCATTTAGCTCCCAAAACCTACCTAAACAAAAAGTCTATAGTGTTCAATGTCAACAGGATCAAGAAAGCTGACATATGAAACTAAAATCAAGACAGAGCCATAACAGATAACCATTTAGCTCCCATAACCTACCTAAACAAAAAGTCTATAGTGTTCAATGTCAACAGGATCAAGAAAGCTGACATGTGAAACTAAAATCAAGACAGAGCCATAACAGATAACCATTTAGCTCCCATAACCTACCTAAATCAAAAAGTCTATAGTGTTCAATGTCAACAGGATCAAGAAAGCTGACATATGAAACTAAAATCAAGACACAACCATAACAGATAACCATTTAGCTCCCATAACCTACCTAAACAAAAGTCTATAGTGTTCAATGTCAACAGGATCAAGAAAGCTGACATGTGAAACTAAAATCAAGACAGAGCCATAACAGATAACCATTTAGCTCCCATAACCTACCTAAACAAAAGTCTATAGTGTTCAATGTCAACAGGATCAAGAAAGCTGACATGTGAAACTAAAATCAAGACAGAGCCATAACAGATAACCACTTAGCTCCCATAACCTACCTAAACAAAAGTCTATAGTGTTCAATGTCAACAGGATCAAGAAAGCTGACATATGAAACTAAAATCAAGACAGAGCCATAACAGATAACCATTTAGCTCCCTATAACCTACCTAAACAAAGTCTAACCTAAAACAAAGTAGTGTTCAATGTCAACAGGATCAAGAAAGCTGACATGAAACTAAAATCAAGACACAGCCATAACAGATAACCATTTAGCTCCCATATAACCTACCTAAACAAAAAGTCTATAGTGTTCAATGTCAACAGGATCAAGAAAGCTGACATGTGAAACTAAAATCAAGACAGAGCCATAACAGATAACCATTTAGCTCCCCATAACCTACCTAAACAAAAAGTCTATAGTGTTCAATGTCAACAGGATCAAGAAAGCTGACATGTGAAACTAAAATCAAGACAGAGCCATAACAGATAACCACTTAGCTCCCATAACCTACCTAAACAAAACTCTATAGTGTTCAATGTCAACAGGATCAAGAAAGCTGACATATGAAACTAAAATCAAGACAGAGCCATAACAGATAACCATTTAGCTCCCCATAACCTACCTAAACAAAAAGTCTATAGTGTTCAATGTCAACAGGATCAAGAAAGCTGACATGTGAAACTAAAATCAAGACAGAGCCATAACAGATAACCATTTAGCTCCCATAACCTACCTAAACAAAAGTCTATAGTGTTCAATGTCAACAGGATCAAGAAAGCTGACATGTGAAACTAAAATCAAGACAGAGTCATAATAACCAGGAAAATGCGTTCAACGATTAAAAACTGTGGCTTTCGCTACTTGTGATCTTCAAATACTGAACATCTTAAATGTCTGAAGATCGTCACTAGCAAGAGACTTTTAGTCATAGTCTTAGATTGGTGTCCCTGCTAGAATTTCTGATTGTCATTGCACTACAGAGACTCGTACATTAACAAATATTGAGTTATATTTTCACCATGAAATAAGCCAAGAAAGGAAAATGGCCTAAATAAGTCGTCAGAACAAAAATTAATTAGAAAAATCAACGTGTATGCATTATTAAACTAATATCCTAGCATGAAGAACTCAATCTTAACTTATGTTTAAACCATTTAGTTTTATGCTATGCTATAGAACTTAGAGTCAGAAAGAAACAGTTGAAATTTCTAGGACACAGAACGAGGAAAGAGAGCTTGGAGAATTTGACACTCACAGGACCTATTGAAGGCAGGAGAGACAGAGGAAATGAACGAATAACCTGCATAACGATTGCTTGTAAATTGATTGCAGAACTGGAATTGGGAGCGATAACGAAAAGATAAACATTACTAACAATTACGAAGGATAATAAAATGTAGTCAGCCATGATTGCTCACGTCCCGAATAGACAGAACACATGGAATAATAATAATAGTAATAATAATAATAATAATAACATGTGGCATATTCGTTTTGTATTTTTCAACATTTTATTTTCTTTTAATCCTTACACAAGGACAATACACACTCAAACCAAATTATACCGATATATGACAGTAGCAGATGTTATCAGAAGATAACTTCCTACACTATAAAAGTAATTCCTCAGATCGGAGGCTCCAACTTTTGTTGCTTAGTTAGATGTCCAGATTCCGTACCTTTCATTGTTAAGGTTTTATAATCCTTAAATTCATTTTTTGTACAAGTTTTTTTTTTTTAATACCTGTCTTATTTGAATGTTACATTTATTTACAAAGATAATGTTGATGGTTGTGAATTGAAAATTTTGACATATCTTATTTGGAATACAGTCTCTATGCTCTTTTAAGTGGCGACAGATGAGTAAAAAAATCATTGTTTTCCTCTCACATCATTAATATTATTTCGCGTTTGGGTTTTGAATATCGAAATGAATCAACAATTGAATTTTGGTCTCTTGATTTCTTTTCCTTCTTTTTTTTTCCCTCTCTCTATACAAACTTTATTTTATCTTTTTTCTTTTATCTGACAAAATATCTTCACGTCTGCATATTCTGCAACAATGACAAAAGCCTGCAGGGATAATGAATTTTTCAAATATATATTCAATTTTTTAATGAAATTCGGTGTGATATTCTGATGCTATTAAGTCGAAACAGAAGTGTCTTGTACTTTTTGACAAAAATATTTTATTCATAGCCTCCTCCATTTGGCATCATCATTATCAACATCAGACATATTGTGTGGTCTTAGGGTCCCTGCACAGCTGATCCCCTGACGATTTCCCTCTATATGTACTCATTCTTGAGCAAAGTATACCTGGCGAAACCCATCCCTCTTTAGGTAAGCTTTATTACATCAAGTTCTGAATCTCATGTCTAGAGTATAGTTTATTATTTATGGGCGCCATTCTACTGTGTTCTGAAGTCAGAGCAGAGTAAACTTTACTAATGATGGCTGCCACTCGATTTGAAGTAATATCATCATTTGATAAATATGTATCAACGGGGATGTGTCTTTTTAGTCCTGCTAGGGATTTATACTCACTTGCACAGATGTGGCAACGTTAGGCACTTTTTGCAGGTGTTACAATAATATTCAGGTGAAATTTCATATGGCGTTTTAGTTTACTAATTGATACACATTCCCTTTAACTTAAATTTAACAAATATGTCGATTTAATGGCACAAACGAAACGCACATAGTAAGACATATAATGACTGGTTGCTCGTTTCTGAGTATGCCGATCTGTTAGAGTGGCTAGCTAATCCCATTTGAAGACGCCAGTTCAGGCATATTTGTTATTTTTTCAATGCTGATAAACTGGAACAAAAAAGTAGTGGCAGCAACAATAGAAGAAGAAGAAGAAGAAGAAGAAACGAAGAGGAAAGAAAAAGAACAAAAGAGGTAGAAAACGAGGAGGAATAAAGAAGAAGAAGTAAAGGAAGAGGAGGAAGAAAAAGATGAAGAAACGAAGAGAAAAAAAGAGAGCAAAAGAAAAAGAGACAATGAGGAAAAAAGAAGAAAAAGAAATGAGGAGGAAACAAGATGAAGAAGCGAAGGGGAAAGAAGGAGAAATTAGGAAAAAAGAAAAAAAAAGAGAACAGATGAAGAAGAGACGATGATAAAAAAGAAAAAGATGAAGAAATAGAAGCAGAACGAGAAGAAACGAAACGAGAAGGAAATAAGAAGAAAAGAAGAAGAAATGAGGAGAAAAGAAGAAAAAGAAGAAAACAAAAGAAAAAAGAAATGACGAGGAAAAATGAAGAAAAGAGGAGGAAAGAACAAGAAGAAGTAAAAAGAAGAGGAGGAAGAAGAAGAAGATGAAGAAACGAAGAGAAAAGAAGAGAGCAGAAGAAAAAGGGACGATGAAATAAAGAAACACGAAGAGGAGAGAAGTAAAATAAGGAGGAAAGAAGAAACGAGGAGGAAAGAAGAAGAAGAAGAAGAAGAATAAGAAAAAGAGGAGGAGGAGGAAGAGGAGATGGAAGAAGAAGATGAAGAAACAAAGAGAAAATAAGAGAGCAGCAAATAAAGAGACGATGAGGAAAAAAAGAATAAAAAGAGGAAAAGAAATGAAGAGGAAACAAGATGAAGAAATAAAGAGAAAAGGAGAAATTAGATAAAAAGAAAAAGAAGAGGAGAGGAGAAGAAGAAGAAGAGACGATGATAAAAGAAGAAATAGATGAAGAAAAAGAAGCAGAACGAGAAGAAACGAAACGAAGAGGAAAGAAAAAGAGAAGAAATGAAAAGGAAAAAAGAGGAAGGAAAGAAGAAGAAATGAGGAGAAATGAAGAAAAAGGAAATGATGAGGAAAAAAATTAAGAAACGAGGAGGAAAGAAGAAGAAATGAGGAGGAGAGAAGAAAACAGAAGAAAAAGAAGAAGAAGAAACGAGGAGGAAAAAAGAAAACAGAAGAAGAAGAAGAAGAAGAAACGAGGAGGAAAAAAGAAAAATGAAGAAAGAAGAAAATGAGGAGAAAAGAAGAAAACAGAAGAAGAAGAAGAAGAAGAAGAAGAAGAAACGAGGAGGAAAAAAGAAAACAGAAGAAGAAGAAGAAGAAGGAACTAAAAAAAACGAAAACTGAAGCAGAATACAAAACAAGTTTGTAGATGACTGGCAATAAGAATACGCCATATGTGAAATAATTTCCCACTATAAATCTTGGAACATCTGCTTCATCGCATTTGTAGCACAAGGATGGATAATGTCGCAGATCAAAAATCGCCGGTCGTCTTCTTTGCCTATCAAAAAGAAAAAAAAAAAAAAAAAGGGAAATTTGAATAAATATTTGATAAATTCATTAATCTAGCAAGCCGTGAGTTTTAGCACAATATGCTGAGGTGATGAGATTCTTCGCAGTTAAAAGCCAAACGAGCAAAAGTAGTGAAAAAGGAAAAAAATTATTTTCTCACAAAATTTGGCATTCAAACAAATCATTTATTTACTGTATTTCTCGCAGTAATCGTTTTTCAGGTTCCGGAATTTCATAATGAACAATTCCTTTGAATGTTTTCAGTCTGAATTTTGAGGTGAAAAGTTATTATTTACATTATTCAAATTCAGAGAAATATCAACATTTCTGTTGTTATTATCAAAACGTTTCAGCCATTCCACCATCTTGTTCTCTTCAGGTGTCTGTCCATACGGATAAACTTCAAAGAATTTTTAACTTAAATCTTTATTTAATCGAAAGGTTTTGAATATTTTCCTTTGTTGACCATATCAAGAGATATCAGGCCAACATTCTCTTGCACAGATGTGACAATGTCGGAGGCCTCTTGTAGTAGGTGTTACAATAATATTTAGGCGAAATTTCATATGACGTTTTACGTAAACAAATGGTGCGAATTCTTTTTCACTTAAATTTAACAAATACTTCCATGTATTGACACAAACAAAAAGTAAGACATTGGTCTCCAAACAGTTCGGAGCACCTCATAGGCGCGGTAGAAGAGGATAGCAGGTGAGGCGGAAATGACTGAAAGGCAATCAAATATTTAGAAACACTATTTAAATTATTCGAACTATCGTCCTCATCTTTGTTGCTATATTTATCACAACGTTTCGGCTGTTGTATGCTCCGGCCTCCTTCAGGTGGTTGGAATGTCGAACTGAACACTATACTGATTATAGTGTTAAGCTGTCCACCCCTTTTTATACAAGTGGACTCGTCCAGCGTGTACTTGTACTGCTGCCGGTGAATACCCGGAAGTGAGAGAGTGAGTGACAGAGTCGAGTCGGAGACTAACAGTGAAGGCTTGTAGGTAACCGGAAGCGTCGTGTGTGAGGTAACCGCTTTGTAGGAGTCACAGTTGCGAGCACGTAGACTCAGAAGGAAGTCATACTTCGATACTGAATTTCCCAGACTGTATATATATATTATTATTGCTACTAACCGCATTTCTGGATCTACTAACCGTATTACCAATTGTATTATTACGTCAATAAATTTATTTGCTATATTTCATTCCTGCGTTTGTCATTCATTTTGAGACCGGATTTCATCCCGGATCCACAAAATATAGCACATTCAATCAAATATTGAAGAAATCACAAAAAAACAAAAACAACAGCAAAAAAAAAAAAAAAAAAAAAAAAAAAAAAAACAAACACTAGGCACTTGTTTCGCACTAAATAAGCTGTACAAATAATTGAATAGAAACAATGAAATAAAGTAAGTTCATATTTGTGTGTATTTTTTAAAAGTTCACGGTTTTATTTTATAACATTAAATATATACCCTTTAAAAACATTGCTAAGTGTGCTGAGATATTTTTCATTTGCTCCTAGCTGTGCCATGGCTTAAAAAGCTTGAGAAACGCCGCTCTAGGAGAATAGGCCATATTTTAAAGAATTTCCCACTCCAAATCTTCGGACATCTGCTGCATCGTATTTGTAACGGTCTTTTTAGTGAATAATGTAAATTCCTTATGACTTACATTAAGTTACATTAAATACAAAGAACAACTTCTTTAGTCTATTGAAAGGCTGTCAAATATCTAACCAAGATTTTTTGTTATTCGTGCTCTAGTAATATATCATTTTTTTAAAAAAATGGCCAGTGACCACAATGTCCAAAAAATGGCTGTTTTTATTGAGCTCGAAGAGAAAGACAAAATCAAAACGCTGGTCAATGTTTTTGCAAAATTATCTAAACGATCGACTATTGATAACAGTGCATAAGCAAAGAATTGCTGCGTAAACCTTGAACAGACATTTAATATTGATATTCAGAGCTTTTATATCAACCGAAAAAAAAATACTCTTTGCAAATAAAGATTTTCATTGTCTTTTATATTAATATATTGGATAACACAATGTGCTTTGGGAAATACATTAGAATAATCCATAATTTTCCTGGGAGCACTCCCCTCCTGCACGTGGATCGAAAACGAATGGATTAAGTACGAGGTGCTTTCAAAAACTATCCGATTTTATTTTATCCCGACAAAACTAATGATGCGTGTGGCAAAATCCTTCCTGCGCATGCGTGAAAATGTTCACTCCACATCAGTTTCCGGCTGTTACGCCGAGAGTACAGATGTGTAGTTCGGGCTCGTCGGCTTTTCGAAAGTTTGATCTTCTTGCGAGTGTGCGAGGGATTCTTCTTGTCCTCTTCTTTTCCTTTATATGCTTCTTCGGATTTCGGTGTCACATTTCTCATCTGTTGAAATACTTCGCAGATATTTACTTTTCTGTATTTGTCTGATTTTATTTGGCTAGTAGTCAAATAAATTCATGGGACATTTTTGACAAGTGAGTATCTTCTTCTCCTCCTATATGCCGTGATCCTTCAGGTTGTGGGCGATCATGGCTCTCCACAACTCTCTTGTATCTCTTAGTAATGTTTAGCTTTTTGTCACTCGCCGTTCTGCTATTCATTAATAAAATCGTCAGGTAGGTGGTTCGCTACCTGCTTTTGTTCCTCTTACTTTTTTTGTCCTGTGAGTATCAAATTCTCCAAGTCTTCTTTCCTCATTATGTGTCCTAGACATTTTAGCTGTCTTTTTCTGATTCAGAATATGTGTCCTTTTCGTCTCCTTTTTTTAACAAAACCTTCCTAGTGTCTCACATGTCAAATCCATGGAAACTCAGCATCATTCTGTAGAACCACAGTTCTCTTGAATCGTGTTTTTTCATCTCTGTCCAGCAATCTCTGCTATATAGAATGCCTAAGACATAGCAGTTGAGCATTCTATTTACGTTATTCGGACTATTGTCCTCATCTTTGTTCCCCTATTTATCACAACATTTCGGCCGTTGTACGATCCGGCATCCTCAGGTGGTTGGAATGTCGAACTGAACCCTTTATTTCGCTCGCTGTCACTTAAAGACACATGGCAAAGTGGAAAAGACGTTGGTTAGATCCAGTGACAGGACCCAAAGAGTTGTGAGTTCAATACCTAGTCAAGGTGGTGGAGAACTTGGAGAGGTGAATTAACAGGCAATAACGGATAACTGACATCCATTAGACATGACAAGTGGAAATAGAACTGTCTACCCCAGCGAACGAAAATAAAGGGTTCAGTTCGACATTCCAACCACCTGAAGAAGGCCGAAGCGTTTAACGGTCGAAACTTTGTGATAAATATGGGAACAAAGATGAGGTCAATAGTCCGAATAACGTAAATAGAATGCTCAACTGCTATGTCTTAGGCATTCTATATAGTCCGAATAATGTAAATAGTGTACATAATACCTCATCTCAGAAATATAGACAGATACAGTTGAGTACGCTTATACATTGTATATATAAGATATGTGCAAAAATTCCTAGCGCTCTGTATTTGAAAATTAACCATTGAATATGTTATATTAAAATATTTGTTCTATAATGCTGCCTCAAATATTCTCTTCATGTGTTAGAAAATTGTCCAGAATTCACCGTTACATCATAGGATTGGTTATTGCGTAGTAGTTATTAGCTTGTGCATTGAAATCTCCTGCCATATTTGGTCTGCTGCTCTTGCTATTCCAAAGAAGGATCTCTAAGGTAACCGGTCCTGGCTTAATATCACAGCTTCAGGCACTTTCTCACCGACGTGACTTAGCTTCTCTCTGTCTTTTCTACAAATATTTTCATAACAATTGATCTGACGAGCTTTTTTTCTCTGGTGCCACGACTACATGAAATTAAGTGTTATGGGACCTTACCTTATTATTATTAATAATAATAATAATAATGGACTATTCCATACTTAATAAATACTGCTCCTCAGGAGTAGGCAAGGAGTTAGTAGCTCAACACCTGACCGACTGTACGGTTGAACTCTCCGCCTTCGGGCGGGGAGGAACCCGAACGAGGCTACGAAGAAGGGCCGAGTCTCGTTCGGGAAGGTAAACCGACCCTGAACCCGTTTATACGGGTTCAATGGACATATTTTTGGGCCGAGCCCACGGGCTCGGAGAACCCACATTAAATAACCGACCTTGTGTCACATGATACCCCAGTGGGGGGGGGATGAATATCGTCAGTAGTTCAAGTGGAGTCAGTAGTTCAAGTCGAGTCAAGAGTCAGAGGCAGTCCGAAACAGAGTCGCGTTCAGACAATTACTGCAAGACATTGGAATAGTGATACTGGTCGAGACTACATTGTTCTCTCTACTAAACCTGATTGTTCGTACTAACACTTTCTACTTCTCTGTATATATTCCTGTTTGTAATATATCTGTGTTATTCCATATCCGTGTTCGAGTTCTTCTTTATTGGTTCTACCTTGGACTATCACCGTCGTACAAGGAACCGGATAATAACATTAAGCGTGCTACAAGAGTGACATCTCGCGCTTTTAGTGCTAAAATAGCTAAATGCAACTGCCACTTCTACTCCCAGCGTTTCTTTTCTTGCCTTTGAAACCCACTTCCGTTTACTTGCTTCACTGATAACTACAATCTTCAAAATTTTAAAAGCAACGTCAACTGCCATCTTCCGTCTTCTTGAACTCTGTCCATCTTTTGTTCTTTCCTCAATTCTCGTTCTTTTCTCTCACTTTCATTCCCTGTAATCAGTTGCGGACTAATGGCATTTCCGCCTTGCTTGGGGTTGAAATGATTAAAAAAGAAAGAAAAAATGGTGAGCACTCTTTTCTTTGTTTCTATCGAAGGTTTCCTGTTTTTCGGACTTTGTTTACATTTGGTTTAGCTTTTTAATGCCACAGAAAAGATAAAATTCGAGTATCTACGCTTTCGAATATATTAAATTTATTTTTGATGCGCAGAAGCGAAACTTATAAATTTCGACCAGCATTTTATTGAAGGATCCATAAAGCGAAAAATATATTCTTCAGAAACGGATGTTACTAAGTAAGGATTCAGAGAGAATAGAATCGAAGAAGATGCAATGAATTTTTTTTTTATGTTTCTATCGATACTTTCAAATAAATCCCGACTGAAGATGACGGAATGATCAGTTGCAATGCGTTCAGAAAATGAAAATGGCGTCTTTGAAAAACATAGAAATAAAGTATAAATAGAAAGTCGGAAGGAAGGAAAGAAGGAATGCAGGAAAAAAAGAAGAGAAGAAAGAAAAAAAAAACGGATAAAAAGGGACAAATAAAAATTAAAAACAGAAATAAAATGGGAAGGAAGAAAGAAACAAAAGAAAGAAAAAAAGAATGAATGAATGGAGATGAAAAGCAGAAATTACGCTGTGCGAAAAAAAAGAAAGAAACAAACAAACAATGAATGAAAGAAATAGAAAAAGAAAGAAAGGAAAAAGAAAAACATGAAATACTGAAATTAAATAAAAATAAAGAAAAAAACTAGTTGAAAAAGAAAGAAAAGCGAAAGAAAGTAACGAAGAAAGAACAAAACACTGAAATTAAATAAGGAATGAAGAAAAAAGTCTTGTTAAGAAAGAAAGAAAGAAAGAAAAAGAAAGAAAGAAAGAAAGAAGAAAAAGAAGACAAAAAACTGAAATTAAATAGGAATAAAGAACACATTATCTAGGTGAGAAAGAAAGAAAGAAAAAGAAAGAAAGAAAGAAAGAAAAAGAAAGAAGACAAAAAACAGAAATTAAATAGGAATAAAGAACACATTATCTAGGTGAGAAAGAAAGAAAGAAAGAAAGAAAGAAAGAAAGAAAGAAAAAAAGAAAGAAAGAAAGAAAAAAAGAAAGAAAGAAAAAAGGAGACAAAAAACAGAAATTAAATCACATTATCTAGGTGAGAAAGAAAGAAAAGAAAGAAAAAAAAAAAAAAAAGAAAGAAAGAAAAAAGAAAAAAAAGAAAGAAAGAAAGAAAGAAAGAAGACAAAAAAAATGGAATAAAGAACATTATCTAGGTTGAAATTAAAAAGGAAAGAAAAGAAAGAAAGAAAGAAAGAAAGAAAGAAAGAAAAAAAGTGAAAAGTTGAAATTAAACAGGATACAAAAAAAGGCAGTGGTGGGAAAAGGAGAAAATTAGAGAGGCAGGATTAGATGATTGAAAAATTCGATTAACAAGCGTTTGAAAGAAAATGAAATATATTAATGAATAAAAATAAAGAATCAATGAATTAAAACATTGAAAGAAAAATGAGACCGAAAAGGGGGATGAAAAGGGAAAAAAAAAACGAAATGGCGCCTTGTCATCTTCTAAACGAGTCTCTAACGGAAAGGACAATGCTTAAAGATACAGCCATTACTAAGAAGATAATCTGCTTAGCTACGTTCCACAATGCATTGCTGTGTGCAAAATCGGCAGTCACGCTGGAGCAATGGCGGCAGGATAGGTGGTCGTGTCCATTCGCGAAAAACGTCGACGTCCAACTCGCTTGACAGGTGGATAGTCAATCATAAGCCATAAAAATTAAAAATAAAAAACAAGCAGAATAGCAAAAAACAAAAAAAAAAAACCAAAAAACGCGGGAATCAGTAATTCCCTTCGGGAAAATGGATTCCAAAAGCCACAAGATAGGGAAAGGTTTCATTTTCCCTTTTTGCTTACAGATTTCTATTTTATTAATGTATTTGCGTGTGTTTGCGTGCTTGTGTCTCTGGGATGGGTGTATGTGTGTGTGCGTGAGTGTGTGTGTGTGTGCGTGTGAGCGTATGTGTGCGAGTGTGTGTGTGTATCATTAATGTTCGCTCGTCTCTTGGTCATCTACAAGTAGTTTCTTTGTTTTCTACTTCTTTTTCTTTATCTTTCTTTTTCCCCTTTTATTATTTTCTTTTCTTTTTTAACATCTTCTTTTCGATTTCTTCCTTCTTTTTTTGTTTCTCTTCTTTTTCGCCTTTTCTTTCTATTCTCTCCATAATTCACGTCCTCGTCTTTTACTATTTGTCTCCCATTTTTTTCTCCTTTTCTTCTTCCTTGTCTTCAAATTTTTTTTCGTATTTTCTCATCTTTTTCTTTCTAACATTGTCTCAACGTTTTCACCTTTTATGTTTCCTTTTCTTTCGCTTCTTTTACTTTTTCTTTTTCCCTTTTTTTTCTTCTTCATCATCTCAATCACTTGTCTTCTTTCTCATATTTTATTTTCTTTTTATCCTCTTCCTTTCTTGAACTTTTTCCCTTTTTTTCTCTGCTATTTCTTTCCTGTTATCTTTTTTTCTTTTTCATCTTTCTTTTTTTCTTCTACTTATTCAATATTTATTCGCTTTTACTTTCCTATTACATTTTCCTTCATTTCCCTCGTTATTTTTTCTTTATTCTCTCTTTCCTTCCCCTCCTCCTCCTTTCATTTCTTTGTCCCTCTTTTCTGTATCAGTAATGCTTTGCTTTCTTTATTTTTTATTCATCATTATTTTCTTACTTTTTCTCAAATTAATTTCTTATTCGAGTCTTTTTTTATTTCACGTTTCCTTAAATTTTCTGGCCAAATTCGTGCCAGTCTCCCATTTTCTTATTCTCTTTTTCCTCGTCGACATTTTGTTGTTTAAAAGTCATTCTTGTCACCCTCATTATGTCTTACATTTTCGTCCATCTTTTAGTCATTTTTGTATTTCCTCATATTTCGTTGTTTTTTTTTTTTAAGTAATTTTGTGTTTATTTTATTCTGATCTTCCAAGCGCTTTTCCTTTCTTTCCTTTTCTAAAATATTTTTCTGCTTTACATCCACATCATCCTCTTTCTCCCTTCTTCTTCTTCTTCTTCTTCTTCTTCTTCTTCTTCTATCATTTACTTTCCCCTGCATCATTTCTTCCTTTTCATTTTCTCATTCCGTCCTTTCTTCTCTTCTTAATAACTTATATAAATAATATCGCTTCTCCCTTTTTTTTCCTTTCACCCTTCATATTCTTTTATCCGTTCTTTCTATCTTGTTATGACCTTTCTATCTTTTTATCGTCTTTCTATGACCTGCCTATCTTTTTATGAACTTCCTATCTGTTATGGTCCCCTGTCATCTTCCATTCCTTTTATGATCTTTCTATGATCTTCCTATCCTTTCTGACCTACCCATATGATATTCCTATATTTTATGGTTTTCCTATAATCTTTTTATGACCTTTCTCTCTTTTTATCTTTTGATGGTTTTCCTATGATCTTCCTATCTTTTTATAATCTTTTTTTTATGATTGTTGTATTTTTATGACACTTCTATAATGTTCCTATCTTTTATAGTTTCACTACAATCATCCTAAATTTTTATGATCTTTCTAACTTTTTATGATCTTTTTATCTTTTCGGGATTTTATTTTGATATTTTGATGGTTTTCCTATGATCTTCCTATCTTTTTATAATTTTTCTATGAGCGTCGTATTTTTATAACCTTTCTATAACCTTCCTATCTTTTATGGTTTCCCAATGATCATCCTAACTTTTTTTTATGATCTTCCTATCTTTTCATGATTTTCCTTTGATCTTTTTATGATTTTCCTATGATCGTCCTGTTTTTTTATGACCTTTCTATAATCTTCCTATCTATTATGGTCTTCCTATGAATCTCCTATCTTTTCAGGATTTTTCTATGGTCATCATATCTTTTTACGATCTTCGTAATCTTGATATTTTAATATCTCCCGTTTTTCTTTTCCTTTTCCCAAACTGTTCTTCACTTCTAATGTTATTTTTTTCATTGTTCTATTTTCTTCGTTGCTTTCTTTTCATTCCTTTACCGATGTTATTGTTACTGGAAATGATGGCGACAATGGCAGAAACATCGATTAGAGAATTACAAGTCGTTCTTCCGACTCTAGCTTTTCTCAGACTTAATGCACACGCTTTCGACTTGTCTCATATGTTTTTATTTATTTCATTATTCCCTGGTCTTGTGAAATATGGCAGTTCGTATTTTCCTCTCCTCGTTCCCTCCGGCTGTCTCCATTTTTTTTTTCTCTTTTTACCCAGGCTCTAACCCCCGCGTTGCATGCTGGTTGCATTTGCATCTGTCACGTCTCTTCCAAGCAGACGTTGTTATGTTTGTTAGACTTTATTCCAGCAAGGTCGAAGCCAATTCATACGTCACATCGGTTTCTGCGTTGCATGATGTCGCAACTTGTCGACAGCTAGCTTTCATTTTCATTCCCATTTTTTTTTCTTTATTATTCTCATTTTTTTTTCTTTCTTTTGCTTCATTCTTTCGTGCCTTCTTCACTTTTATTCAGTTTTTTCTCTAATCTGGCCTTGAATCTCGCATATGCATTGTTCCTTTTTCTGTAGTTTCATTTTTTTTTCAGGCACATGTGTCCAACGAAGAAATTCTGCCGCGAATAATGTTTTCCAATGATTTCTTTCTTTTCATTTTATTGCTCTTCTCTTGTAATGGGGGTGGGTGACCCTTTCTTATAGATGTGTGTTCAAATAACGTTAGGGTCACCAGTTGTAACGACATTATTTTATTAGTTTGTTAAGGGAGACATCAAATTGTAGTGGTGTTGTTGAAATGGGATATTTTCTTGGATATATATATATATATATATATATATATATATATATATATATATATATATATATATATATACATTTCTCAAATCCACACACACACACACAAAAACACACACACACACATATATATATATATATATATATATATATATATATATATATAATATAAGAAAAAATAGTGTTAAGGTGTGCTGTATTTATGGGATAAAGTGCTCAATATAAGAGATAGGGCATATGTAAATATAAAAGTGGACATTGAAATAAACACTCAGAGGCGACAGGCTCTTTTATGCTAGACACAATCGATTGCGTCTAGCATGAAACAGCCTGTCGCCTCTGAGTGTTGACTTCAATGTTCACCTATATATATATGTGTGTGTGTGTATAAATAGACAGATACATAGATTATGTATCTTTATATATATATATATATATATATATATATAGATAGATAGATAGATAGAGAGAGAGAGAGAGAGAGAGAGAGAGAGAGATTGAAAGATTGATTTTGGGGTATTTAATGCCGAAATCTAAGTATTTAGAACGCAATCGTATGCATTCCACTACAGATAAAAATGTATTTTTAGTCTTCGAGTATAGAATGTATTGCTGGTCATTTTGCTATAAAATATATTGTTGGTAATTTTACTATAAATATGTATTGTTGTTAACTTTATTTAAATATGTATTACTGGTATTTTTACTATAAAATGCACAAAAAACTTATATTTTCATTGTTTTGTTTTTTCTTTTGGAGTTCGCTATTTATCCATAGCTGGACTGAACATGTGCTACCACCCCAGGTCAGGGCTTATTTGTAAGTTTGTAAGTTATGTTAGAGTTATAAACTGTTAAAATACATAAGTACTACCCAATTACCCAATTAGGAAATTGAAAAATAAAGCTTCTTCAAATTTGCAATCTTTTCTTTATTTGTAAGCTTGTATATCTTTACTTGTAAGCTTGTATGTTATACAATAGCTATAAAACATTAAATGCGTTAAAATGCATAAGTATTATACAATTGTATCATTATCAAATTGAAAAATAAATCTTCTGAAATATTTTTTATTTTTTAGCCTAATTGCGTATATGGTAAAATCGAATTTTCCGTTTGGCGCTGACCTTTTCCAGGAAGTAAAACAAATTAATCCCTTTTTCATTACTTTTGAATAAAAGTTCATCGATTTATGTCATAGGAACATAGGATTACAAAAAAATTTATTACCCTATTGTACATTGATATCTTTTCTTTGTTTCTTTCTTGATATTTTTAACTCTTTCAAAATCGTTCACGGAGAAAACCGATTTTTATTTCATCATCTTTATTCACGTTCTGGACAGATATAATTTTTGTGACGTAAATTTGTCATTGTCATTAAAATTAATAAACTCATTTTGAACTATTTTCTTTTTATTATCAGGAGGTGCATTACGGATCTTTGTGTAACGATGGAAAATGTGCCAGAATATATATCTACAGTGTTATAAGATTTCATGATCTGCGTGTCAGGACATGACAATATAATGTTTTGTTACGAAAGCAATTACGATGAAATATGGAAATATTAGAGAAGACCTTTATAAATATAGAACATTTATGGAAGGCCTTTATAAATATGAAACTATCAGTAAAGGCCTTTATAATATATGTCTATTATGGAAGACATTTATACGTATGGAACTATTAGGAAAATCCTTTATAAATATGGAACTATTAAGGAAGACCCTTATAAATTAAAAATATTTCGCTATTTTCTGGTGAAGCTAAATAAAACGAGAAACATGTTATTTATGAAGAATTTCCTACTTGATTATTATTTAGTGTTCAAAAGTTCATCGATTATGACATCGGAATGTATGGTTACAAAACAGTGATAGCCCTATTGTGTATTCATTAACATGGAGCTATTAGGGAAGACCTTTATATAGAACTATTAGGAAAGGCCTTTATATGGATCTATTAGGAAAGGCCTTTATATGGAACTACTAGGAAAGACCTTTATATGGAACTACTAGGAAAGACCTTTATATGGAACAATTAGGAAAGACATATTACATATATTTGTTACGAAAGCAATTACGATGAAATATGGAAATATTAGAGAAGACCTTTATAAATATATATAAATATAAATATATATATAAAGGCCTTTATATGGAACTATTAGGAAGATCATTTATATGAAACTATTAGGAAAGGCCTTTAAATGGATCTTTTAGGAAAGGCCTTTACATGGATCTATTAGGAAAGGCCTTTACATGGATCTATTAAGAAAGGCCTTTACATGGATCTATTAAGAAAGGCCTTTACATGGATCTATTAGGAAAGGCCTTTACATGGACATGGGTCTATTAGGAAAGATTAGGAAAGATTTTACATGGAACTGTTAGGAAGACCTTTATATGGAACTATTAGGAAAAGATCTTTATATGGAACTGTTAGGAAAGGCCTTTACATGGATCTATTAGGAAAGATCTTTACATGGAACTGTTAGGGAAGACCTTTATATGGAACTATTAGGAAAGATCTTTATATGGACTGTTAGGAAAGGCCTTTACATGGATCTATTAGGAAAGATCTTTACATGTAACTGTTAGGGAAGACCTTTATATGGAACTATTAGGAAAGATCTTTATATGGAACTGTTAGGAAAGGCCTTTACATGGATCTATTAGGAAAGATCTTTACATGGAACTGTTAGGGAAGACCTTTATATGGAACTATTAGGAAAGATCTTTATATGGAACTGTTAGAAAGGCCTTTACATGGATCTATTAGGAAAGATCTTTACATGGAACTGTTAGGGAAGACCTTTATATGGAACTATTAGGAAAGATCTTTATATGGAACTGTTAGGAAAGGCCTTTACATGGATCTATTAGGAAAGATCTTTACATGGAACTGTTAGGGAAGACCTTTATATGGAACTATTAGGAAAGATCTTTATATGGAACTGTTAGGAAAGGCCTTTACATGGATCTATTAGGAAAGATCTTTACATGGAACTGTTAGGGAAGACCTTTATATGGAACTATTAGGAAAGATCTTTATATGGAACTGTTAGTAGAGACCTTTATATGGAACTATTAGGAAAAGATCTTTATATGGAACTGTTAGGGAAGACCTTTATATGGAACTATTAGGAAAGATCTTTATATGGAACTGTTAGTAGAGACCTTTATATGGAACTATTAGGAAAGATCTTTATATGGAACTGTTAGGGAAGACCTTTATATGGAACTATTAGGAAAGATCTTTATATGGAACTATTTGAAAAGGCCTTTATAAATTAAAAATATTTCGCTATTTCTGGTGAAGCTAAATAAAAAGAAAAACATTATTTATGAAATTTTTCGTACTTGGTCATTATTTAATAGCACACACGCACAAACACACACACACAGGCACACACACGCGCGCGCGGCATACACACACACACACACACACACACACACACACATATATATATATATAATGCAAGATTAC